ATTCTAACAACAGGGAATATATTGGTAATAGATCTACCTAAAGATAAAGCATTTCTATTTTAGATAGGAATTCAAATTAAAGGATTATAACATTCATTTTCGTTGATTTTATTTGAATGGAATTCCTAGTTTTAAAGATTTATTGTTGACGAGCTATAGCAATTGCACCTATTAAAGCGACTAAAAGAATTATTGAAATGAGTTCAAATGGAAGAAAAAAATCTGTTGATAAATGAATTCCAATTTGTTGGCTATTACTTATCAAATCTTGCTCTATAATCTGGTTTGATTTTGTAGTCCAAATAATCCCGTACCATGACGTATTTGGAATAGTAGTAATTAGTGAAATAAAAAGACTTGTACAAACTATTGAAGTAACTCCAGCCCCAACGGTCCAAAGATGAAAATCTTTGTAATATTCTGAACCACTCATGAACATCATAGCAAAAATGATTAAAATATTTATAGCTCCCACATAAATAAGGAGCTGCGCAGCAGCTACGAAATATGAGTTCGATAGAATATAGAATAAGGATATACAAAAAAGAATCAATCCCAACGAAAAGGCCGAATACATTGGATTGGGAAGTAATACTACTCCTAGACTTTCTAATAAAAGACCCGATCCCAAGAAGACTAAAAGAAAATCATGTTTTTTTTTTATTTGGAATAAAAAAGTAACTAACTGGATAATACGTTATCATTATACTGAGTTAGAGTATAGTAGTTCTAGTTAGAAAGTTGAACATTTTTTCAGTCAATTCTCATTATTATGAATAATGATAAGCCACCTCTTGAATCACCAAAGATCCCTATTTTACATTATACCAATCAAATCCATTGAAAAGATTTGAAATCAACAAAAGAAAAGGTAAGTGGACCTGACCTATTGAATTATGATTATATCCGCTATTCTGATATTAATGTGTATACAAAAGCATATAAGTAATAGTTGTTGATTACCTTTATGTGTACGAGTGTATATTATGTTTAAGATCTCCCTTTCAATTAGAAGGATTTCAACATAATGGGTCTTACCTCCTTGAACTCGTTCATGATCAAAACTAAAAATCGAAAAACATCGGGAGCAACTACAAATCCTAGCAAGTTTGTAAAACAATAAATCTTTGAAGTGTTCTTACAACGAAACATTAGCACTAATATTAACCCATTTATGTTAATAAAGCACTTAAAAATCTAACATATAAGCTTCAATACTGGTCCAGTTACATAAAAAAGTGCCATAAACATCGATCATTTATCACTCCATATACCACAACTTAGAGAAGCAATGGAATCGTTATATCCTAGCTAGAAAAAATAAATAATATGCATAGTATTCCAAGGTACGTAGATACAAAAAAATTACTATTTCTTGACTCTCTTCATAATCTGCCTAGTGAAAGGCATCTTCATCGCTACTACAGGCACTCGAATGCATGTCGAGCATCATTTCTTAATCACAACGACTTCATCATCAACACATGGTACAACGACCACTAATGGAGCATCCATGTCGGCCCTTCCTATGGTCAAAGGCTCACATGTGGCTTTCAGAGAATTTCCCAACGGTATGGAAGTTCACGAGTCTATGCAAATATGATATGGTTCGCATTAGTTATGCAATAGATGAAGAAAAGAACATATTCATCCTATTTCATTTATCTATGCTCAGGAATATCCCATTCGATTCCATCAAACTAGTATTGGAAGGAATTTAAAGGTTTTCTGGGGATGTATCATTTAGTTCCATGTCTCCTCCATCTATGTGAACATAATAGTTGTAATGTCAATACACAATTAATGAACACATTGTCCATTTTGTGTAGAAGTGAAATGGACTTGAATTTATGATAATGTAAGTTGTTAAGAATTAAAAAAAATTACCTCTATCTAAATTTTTTACCTTCCGCGTGTTTGCATGCATCTCACCCTGCTTACTTCTTGTCCTCAGCAGGATTAAATCTATTTTTTTACCAACAATTCCTTCAAACCTGCAAGTTCAACAATTATATGTTGACAGATCGCATCCCTAAACGTTTGGGCATATACTTCGATAAGCGTTTCATTTACACTCAAAACGGTTGCTATCTCATTGAACCTACTTTTGACCCTATCATACTTCAAATGTATAAAATCTTGATCTCACTGCATTATTCCTCAAGCCTTTCTCGAACATTGCTTGCCGATCCATTAACATAGTCTATACATGCGCTTTTATTAGGGAAGGCTATGAAGTTGAAGGTTCTTATCAAGAAAAAGATGGGATATGTACATGGGATGAATCCATGGCCACACGAGGTATAGAAAATGCACCTTCATAGAAAATCACATCAATATGTATAGGCGTACCCGCAAGTTCATCACACAAATGACCTCCATCAGTCTTTTTACCACTCTTATTGCCACTATCATTACTAATGTACTCTTTGTCCTTACTGTCATCCTTGGACTCCCAGGATTGGTCATCACTACCAGTCCCCTCATCCAGAGCCAGCCCTGAGAATACGGAGGCCCTAGGCGACAAATTTTTTTGAGGCCCTATACTTTTTTTTTTACAGGTGTATCAATATTTAATTAAAAAAATATATCTATATTTATATGAAAACCTTGTACAATTTAAAAGATAGAATTGTAAAATAAAATATCACTTACAACCCGAAAATGGTATGGAATGTAGAGAAAGAAAATGATCATTGTCGTAGAGAGTCTACGTTATTTTATGTTTGCATTGATGATGAAAGACAAATTTTCAAAAGCGTGTTTTCATAGTGCAAATGAATATAATGTTGAACTTTGTATCAAATTGTTGAATTTAAATACCAAAAGAAAATATTTTTTATTGATTGAAATAAACTTACAAATTTTGAATGCACCAAAAATACTAACCAATTATTTCGGAATTGAAATGGATTTACGGACCGTTACTTGACAGAATGAATTGGCCCTTGTGAGATTGAAAGTCAACAAATCCGGCTGATGGGACTAGCAATGGCCTAAAAGGCAATTAAAATCGGCCACAAAATCTCTCCCAGACACACTAATAATATTATTTAGGAATGTAACACACAATTTTATGGACTATCATTATATGTGTACAAAATAATATTTTCTCTCACTTTCCACTCAACTCACAAGCACAGCAACCAATTTTGTCTCCTTCCACTCTCTCACACACGATTCTCTCTCTCTCTCTCTAGTATATCTCTTCTTCTTCCTTCTTGCTATCTTTTCACAGTTAACACTTCGAAGTTTCAAGTCTCTGCTCACAGCTCACACCACACTTCTCTTCACACTCACACACTCTATTTCTTCTCTCATCTCACACACACACACATATATATATTGCAGTTGGCAGCAACATATCTATAGAGAGTAAAGTCGGTGAGACGGTGATTTCCTTTTTCTGCCGTGCTGAACTGCTGCCTGCTGGACTCCAAGTTTCCAACACATTTACTATGAATTTTGAGGCCTGGGCCCAAGCCATATTTTTGAGGCCCTAGGTGGCTTGGCCCCAGGGCCGGCCCTGCCCTCATCATTGGAATATCTTGTAGCCAATTCCTCTTCATTGCCTTCAACCTTAGATAATCCTCTGATTCTTTTGTTGCCCTCTTACTATGTGTGAAACTATCATGGACCATATTTAGAACAAGGTCGTCCAACTAAGGCATTGGAGCATCGTTTAGAAGAACGAGCGTAGATATATGGGTACATCAAGCTGTGAATATCGAATAGTAAGAATTTATTTGAATAGGTCGTGTTTATTAGGAATTGAAAAAATTAATAACTTAAACCTAGAAACTATCTGTATTGAAGAATGCTTTATATGTACGTTAATGCGACTATTTTGAAGTAGTCTAGCTAAGAATCCTTAGGAAATGTAGACTAATTCTGTCAACAAACCTTTCATCGGTCTCGAGGACCGCCATTAACATTCATATCTATTGGACAAGGAAAAAATAATTTATTCATGTCATTTTCATTTAATACAACATATTTGATTAGTATTCAAGTAACATCATTTCGAACTCATACCTGAAAAGCAAAGGAAAACCCGTGAATTGTGTAAGTGATATCCTTGTTGTTCTTTGCCTTAGTATCTCTAACTAAAAAATCACTCTGAAATGCCCTTATTAAATGGTGGAAGCCTATTTTACCCCTAGAGTAATTGAAGAAAATACTGAGGTTGTCAATGATTGACAACATGTTAAGATCGATATCAGCATTGTTATCCGGGGCAATGAAAACTTTCTCAACTACTAGCTTATATCGACCTGCTTGAATTATCAGACGGATTTAAGAAAGCTTTTTCCAGTTGGGCGCTTGAAACTTGATCCCTTGATCTGAAGTATTTATCCTTTTGTCTAGTTTTCTTTTTATCTTTATCGAAGTCATTGCATCTTAGCAAAAAATCACATTTTAGCCCCTGTGACCAAGGAACTCTTGTTGTCTTGCATTTTAAATTGTGTTAGCAACATAATTTATGTGTCTTTTTTATTCTTATCATTTTAAACACAAGCTGTTTAATTAGCTTACTGAGAATTAAACATTTGGTAAACATGCAGGAAAAGCAAGACATGAGTTCTTGAAATCAATTCTCCGATCGACATCAAACTAGTTGAGTACAGTTTCTATGTACTTGAGATTGTTGTGCTGAGATATGTACACATGCAACCGATCATTTTTCAGCCAAACAAAAGTCAAATTTTATTAATAAAAATCTGTAACAAGAAGAAAAAATGTTAGCTGGTGATGCTACCAAAAAATATCACCTAAAAGACCTCGAGCTTGATGGTCGAACTTCACTTTGATGAACACGATCGGTCTGTGAATACCTGCAACAAAGGCAACGAGGTGTGTGCTCGTCGCCCCTCCGATGCTTAAATCAGATAGGGAATTTAGTGTGTGATGCTATAAACTGAAGATAATGAAAAACGTACCTTGATGTTGAGCCTTGGCCAAGTATTTATAGGTGTTGGTGGGGGAGCTCTAGAAGGATTCTATTACTGAAAGAATCATTTTCCCCTTAGGACTAGGTGTTGGAGTTTAATTAGAAGTGTATTGTTAGAGTTCTAATCAGGGAAAGAGTAGATTTAGTTGGGTCTATTTTTTGGAGATTAATTCGGTGGGTAAGGTCAAATTAGATAAAAGAAACCCTGACCTTAAACTAGCGTGAGATGCCAAGATCAACTTGGGGGTCATAGGTCGAGGTCGAGGATTATGGGCAAAATGAGGTCTAGTTCGGCATACCCAATCCGGAGTCATCATAGGCCCTCGTGCATTTGAGTTGTAGATCGTGCAGAGTCTGCGATCTCGAATTGAGATGCAAAAAGAATGTTGTGGCTTGATATCGACATCGACACCTATTATTTACCTGTTGGAGATCTGTTGTGTCACATATCTGTCATGTGGCTGGTTGTCAGAGCTCGAACTTGGATGTTTGCCACTTGTCCTATTTTAAGGGTTTTAGATTAAGTGACTGTTGGTATGCCCATGACCCCTATAAATATCCCCACTATTCATTTTCACTTTTTCACTTTTTACTCTCCACTCTCTCTAAAAAAGCTCGAGTTCGGGGATAGTGGGTTGTGAGCGATCGCCATTAAGGTAAGAGTTCGAGCCTTTAAGTTGTTAATTATTTGAGTAGAGTAATGTCGAACAGTAGCAGTAGTGGTAGTACTAGTAGCAGTAAGGGGTCGAGTAATAGTGACAGTAGTAAGCCTTCTAAGAGTTCGGGGGATAATGAGAACCCTACTGCCCCAAGTATGGTTGTCGAAACTCCGGGTGATCAAGGTCGAGACCTTGTCACTCTAACTATTCCTGTTAGCTTGCACTCTCCAAGGGAGGTGGTACTGACTTATCCAAAGAACCCGACCACCTATAAGGAACATGTAATTATTAAGATAGCTAGAGAGTTTGGGGTGATGCCCATTTGTGATGTTAGGGTTCCTGAGAGCACCGAAGATATCTTAGGAGCTCGAGATGGGGAGATGACGTTTTTTAGGGATGCCCTTAAGGCTGGGCTGCGGTGGCCTCTTCATGCCTTGTTTGTCCACTTTTTAACGTCGTTCTATATGTGTCCGGGCCAGTTGGCCCCTAACGGTTGGAGGCTGTTGGTCTATTTCTTTATATTATGTAGATGCCTCGATATTGAGCCTAGGCTCGACCTTCTGAGGATGGTGTACGATATGAAGTACTCGTCGGGGTTTAACTATTTTGTGTATTTGTCAACCCAGGGGGACTTTAGAACGCCTGAGA